TTTTAAATACCAAAGAATGGGACATGTAGCTGTTCAGTGTAGTGTGGAGGGGAACATGATTACGGTGAATGTGGGAGCAATGTGAAGGTTAAGTGTTGGAATTGTGGGGGAGGGGAAATACTGTAGCATTTGGTGGATGCCAAGTGCAGAGAGAGGCTAGAGAGGCTCAGATATACAGTGCCTTGCAAAAGTATTCATCCCCCTTGCCGTTTTTCCTATTTTGTTGCATTACAACCTGTAATTTAAATGGATTTTTATTTGGATTTCATGTAATGGACATACACAAAATAGCCAAATTGGTGAAGTGAAACGTTTCTGTCTTCCAGAGATTTGAGACTGGGACGGAGGTTCACTTTCCAGCAGGACAATGACCCTAAGCATACTGCTAAAGCAACACTCAAGTGGTTTAAGGGGAAACATTTAAATGTCTTGGAATGGCCTAGTCAAAGCCCAGACCTCAATCCAATTGAGAATCTGTGGTATGACTTAAAGATTGCTGTACACCAGCGGAACCCATCCAACTTGAAGGAGCTGGAGCAGTTTTGCCTTGAAGAATGGGCAAAATCCCAGTGGCTAGATGTGCCAAGCTTATATAGACATACCCCAAGAGACTTGAAGCTGTAATTGCTGTTTTTTTGTCTTATTTCTTGTTTGTTTCACAATGAAAATATTTAGCATATTCAAAGTGGTAGGCATGTTGTGTTAATCAAATGATACAAATCCCTCAAAAATCCATTTTAATTCCAGGTTGTAAGGCAACAAAATAGGAAAAATGCCAAGGGGGTGAATACTTTCGCAAGCCACTCTACAGTATAGAATCAGTCATGAGGTATCATATGCAGAAGCTGTTAGACAGATTGGTGGAACTACAGTGTGGCCTGATAGAGCTTCCATGGCTGCTCCTGTACTAAGTGAACCTTCTGTCGGGGCTTGTGCTTCTGCTGGTCCTGGCTTGGTTTTGAGACCTGTTCAGAAATATTGCGCTCATGAATGTGCTGTGTCAAAGGGCACTTTGATAGTGAATAAAGTTAACTTCATAGCTTTAAGGTTATCAACACGACTCGGGTTGTGGATATACGTCAAAACAGTTATTGGGGGTAACAGATGTCACTGTCGAAATGGTTGTTGACATGCTAAATAACATTTTTTTTATTTAACTAGGCAAGTCAGTTAAGAACAAATTCTTATTTACAATGACGGCTTACCCTGGCGATGCTGGGCCAATTGTGCGCAGCCCTATGGGACTCCCAATCACGGCTAGGTTGTGATACATTCTGGAATCTAACCAGGGTCTGTAGTAATAATAATAAATAAATAATATGCCATTTAGCAGACGCTTTTATCCAAAGCGACTTACAGTCATGCGTGCATACATGTTTGTTTTTTTTGTGTATGGGTGGTCCCGGGGATCGAACCCACTACCTTGGCGTTACAAGCGCCGTGCTCTACCAGCTGAGCTACAGAGGACCACACAGTAGTGACACCTCTACCATTGAGATGCAGTGCTTTAGACCACTGCACCATCCAGGAGCCCTAATTGGTAAATAATCCTAAGGGTGGATTGTTTCAGCATGATATGTGGTCCTCTGTAGCTCAGCTGGTAGAGCACGGCGCTTGTAGCGCCAGGGTAGTGGGTTCGATCCCCGGGACCACCCATACACAAATATGTATGCACGCATGACTGTAAGTCGCTTTGGATAAAAGCGTCTGCTAAATTATATATTATATATAGATAAAGTTTAATGGATTGGGGGCTTGTGCGGGGTTTTACTTGTTTTTTCAATTGTATTTTCTTAGTAGTACAGAATTAGGCAGACCGTGATTCATTGCACACTCCAGGACAGTAGACGGCAGCATGCACCTTAAACGTTTGTTTGCGGACCGCAATGATATCAAGAAGAAGTCGAAGAAAAAGAAGTGAACAGCTTCACACTCCAGTACAGTAGGTGGCGGTGAAGAATAACGTTTGGTCGTTTTGTATGCTTAGTAGATCATTGAAGTAGGACAAGCGTAAACAGAGATTTTCTGGAGAATAATACGTGTTTTGGGTTCTTGTGCGAGAACTGTTTGGGAGAGACGGTTAGCTAAATAAACTAGAGAAAGGCAGCTGGCAGAGGAGAACGAATTCGGATGTAGAGAGACGGAACACAGAGTGGACTACCTGTGGTTGGTCGGGCATTTTGGAAAAAGATGGAGGAAGCGGATGATGAAGTGCATTCTGAATCTAATGGCGGTAGAATTGGAATATTCTCCAAACGAATGGAAAACGGAGCAAAGTAGTGTACAGTGATGATAATGTCAATTCGTATATTGTAGGAGTACGGTTTGTAAATGAGGAGCAGCTGATCGAATTACCAATCTTGAGGAATCCGTTTGAGATATCCAAACTGGTGGAGAGAGTGCTGGGTAGAGTGAAGGCTGTGAGGATCACGAGAGGCGGGCTTGTTTAGATTTTTTGTGCTTCTGCGTGTGTTGCGTCTCACCCGATTTGATACGTTTGAAGTATCGTGTGTGTCTCTTAGGAACAGGGCATATCTGGCGTCTCGTGGGAAGTCGATGTTGAAGAGATGAAAAATATTCCTGGAGTGATTGATGCACGTCGGATGAATCGTGTGATGAATGAAGTGAAGAGTATCAGTTCTTTTGTTTTTTGATATGGAGTCTCTCCCTACTCAAGTGCACTTAGGGTATATTAACTACAGAGTCAGAACATTTATCCGAAAGACCAATGCAGTGTGATCATTGTAAAGCTTTTGGTCATGTTTCAAGTGTTTGCAGAAAGGAGAAGTCGAGATGTCCAAGTTGTGGAAAAGATCATATCATGTGTTATAAAAGTGATGAAAATGTGACATGTTGCAATTGTGGTGGGAACCATGAAGCCACATATTTCAAATGCCCCACAAGGGTAAAAGAGAATGAGGTGGCCAAAGTCAGGGCTGTCCAGAGCATTTCATATGCAGCAGCTGTTAAAAGGGTTGAGGGATGGAATGGTACGGTACACCTGAAGAGTCCATGGTGGTGGATAGGCCTTCACTGCAGGGGTTGCCTTTCACCAGCAGGATCCTGACATTTTAAAGGTTAATAAGGTGGACTGTGTGGCCTTTATAGCTATGGTAATTAATGGCACTGCCTAGGTGGAGGGAAGGTCCAGGAAGATAGAAATCATTGTGGATGCTGCGGAACGGTTCCTAGGGCTGAAAGATTTATCGGCGAAGGAGTTGACTTACATGGAATATTTTCACAAGCCATACCACCCTCTCAGGTCCAAGATCCTGAGAAGGGAGATATGGAGAATTTAAAGAAGGAAGAAGTGGGAGTTTTGTTTTGTCAATGTACTATTTTTATTTGGGTGGATTAAGTTAGTTTTAAATATGGATTTTATTGTTTTACCTTGTTTTGGTTTCAACCCGTCCAGTTGGTGGCGGCAATACACCTTTTGGGGTTGTAGTCCGCCATAAAATCCACAGAAGAAGAAGATATTTTCTGAAACAGGGAAGAGAAGGCTGTCATAGTATATGCAAGGCTTGTAACCGTGGCGTTTCTCAGGTAAAGTAGCCAGCTATCTAGCTAACGTTAGCTGTTGTTTTAGCTCATGCTAATGAAATCGACTTGCTGCCGGGCAAGCAGGGTTATCTAACTATTTTGACTAGGGTTGGCTAGCTAGCTAATTTTAACGTAAGCGAACTAAATTGTGAATCGATTTAACTAGCTAGTTATGGCTAAATCTAACCATAGGTTAACGTTACTTATTTGGGGACGATAATTTATTCGGAAAAATTGATCTGTCTAACTTGCACAGTTAGATAACTAGCTCGCTACAAATGATAGCCAAGCACTAACACAACTAATTGTATAGCCAACAGTTTTGGGGCGGCAGGGTAGTTTAGTGGTTAAGAGCGTTGTGCCAGTAACCGAGAGGTTGCTGGTTCTAATCCCCGAGCCGACTAGGTGAAAAATCTGTCGATGTGCCCTTAATCAAGGCACTTAATCCTAATTGCTCCTGTAAATCGCTCTGGATAAGTGCGTCTGCTAAATGACGTAAATGTTTGTAAATCTGACCCGCATGTTTAATGCTGCACCTGGGTCGGACAGGCTTCCTATGTAGATTAAAGCTGCAATATATAACTTCCGGTGTAGATTAAGACAGTGGAGTCAGCGTGAGATATGGCTTGGAAAACGTAACTAACAACTTCAATCCGAAATGTTCCAAAATGGCTGATGTGGCTTCTATCCTGCTAGCTAGCATGAGGAAAAAATAGCAGTCATTCAATCTTATTGGTGTAACAGCTGGGGCAATTTGGAGTACAAGGCCGATCTCATCCCTGCATTGTACGTTTTCTGAGCCATATCTCGCGCCGGCTCCAGTCCAACCCTAGTGCAGCTGTGAGCAATCGGGTCGGATCTGCTGGCTAACTAATTGTACAAATGAGGACGTTTTCATTCAGCTGCCCTGAGGCAGGGTAGTCAACCTTATTCCATGGAGGGCCTAGTGTCTGCAGGTTTTTGGTTTTTCCTTTCAATTAAGGCCTAGGCAACCAGGTGAGGGGAGTTCTTTACTAATTAGTGATGTTAATGGAATGAGTTTGACACATGTGCCCTGAGAGACTAACAGTGAAATGCTTTGTTACGGGACCTTGTACCTAGCTGAAAGGTGAGACACATTCGTATGACTGGTTGACTAAAATTGCCTCGCTATTTCCTCTTTGTAGGATGCCCCTCTAGCTGTGGATATATTCCTGGCAATATTTATTTACCTAGCGGTCTTCCTTGTTCTCAGTTAGAACACTGTCACTCCCTCTGTATGTTTCTCCACACCTGGAGAATATTGACAAAGTTAATGAGACATGTTTTAAGCCCAGGAGAGAAGGCTAAAGGCCAAGTAGTAGTGTGACATGATCATACCCAACCAACCTGCCAAAGTTAACTAGCTAGTCAAATTGGGATGGCAACCTTACTGTTGATCCCACTGTCACTCCCTCTGTATGTTTCTCCACACCTGGAGAATATTGACATGTTGCTTTGTCTTTCAACAGGGGCATACATTGTGTTGTACTGACTGCAGATTCTTGGTACCAACATGAGAGCTGGAGGTAGGTTTTGTTATAGTAGCTACCTGTATATCTCACATGTACTTTGGTCAGTGTATGACACTTGTTTATCTTGGCTATTCTGTCAACAAACCATATTCTTAATCACAGTATAACATAGCTATGCCTATAGCCTACTTGTTTAGTGTATTAGGATCCCCATTAGCTACTGCACATGCAGCAGCTGCTCTTCCTGGGGTCCACATAAAATGTACAAATAATGACAAAGTACAGAATGGTAATAGACAAGAACAACATAAGAAATTACATTTAATATAGAAGTAAGAGTATCATCCATGTTGTTGTTAGTTCTGTGTGTGCAGTCAAGGGCAAGGCGTGCTGCTTTGTTTTGAGCCAGCTGCAGCTTTGCTAGGTCTTTCTTTGCTGCACCTGACCATATTACCAGACAGTAATCAAGATGGCACAAGATCAAAGCCTAGTACAGTTGATCTTTGTGTCAAAAACGCAGACCATACCACAACATGCATACTGTACCTCTCCCCATCTTCACAACAACTTTGTAAATGATTTGACCATGATAACTGACCATCCAATGTTACTCCTAGGAGTTCAGCTTCTTCAACTTGTTCAATTTGTAGCGGTATTGTTAGAGGGTAAAGATAAAGATGTTTGTTTGGGCGCCAGGCAGGTATTAACCCTGCCCAAAGGAAAAGGGTAGGATAGATGGAGTATTGCTACCAGACACACATCAGCAGAAAAAACTGCCTAGAGCAGGGGTGTCAAACTCATTTTAGCTCAGGGGCCACATGGAGGAAAATCTATTCCCAAGTGGGCCGGACCGGTAAAATCATTATATATATATATATATATATATATATATATATATATATATCTTAAAAACAACAACTTCAGATTGTTTTCTTTGTTTTAATACGATCAACATAAAACATAAAGCTGGAGCCTGAGGACAGTGTGCCCAAAATAGTACAAGCACAACATCACTATTAATCATAAAACACCAAGTTTATTTGAAAATTCTAAAGAAAAAAAACACACAATGCCTCAGTGATTCACAGAACTGTTTCACAGATCACAGAACTATATCAAGGTGTAATTTCTCAGGCAGAAATGTAGATAAAAAATAATGAAATCCTGTTCCCCAGAGTCAAGAAAAACAATTAAAAACAATAGCACATCAACATAAAAACATATAAACATAAAGCTGGAGCCTGAGGACAGTGTGTCCAAAAGCACAACATCACTATTCATCATAAAACACCTCAAGAGGGAGGGCCATAATAGTCCAGCGACACGGAAAATCAAAGGGAGCGCAGTGGGGGGAAAAGAAAGTCTGCTGCAGTGTAAAGCACTGGAGCGATAGAGGGAAAATGAGAGAGGGGGGGTCTTAGCTGTTGACTTCAGGCTTGCAGTTGCACTGTCTGTCCGTCTGATACACCTGTTGGTTTGTTTGTCAAAGCTTAGCAACACTGTTGCTACTAATCCATAACGATCAATGACAGGAGTGGGCCCTAAAGATTCCAAACACGACCTAGAGCGTTAACACCGGCGATCGACTTCAACACGTTTTACAAACTAAGCACGCTGAAAATAAACATGACTTCTGCAGAGAGTTGAACACACTGTCAACTGCCGCGTCAACTGAGAGCCCCCACACAGAGCCGGAAGAGCAGCCTTTTATTTTTTCACTGCTGCGCTCTGAAAGTGGCAGCGTACGGTGAAGGTTCTGTGCAGGATTTCGCCACAAATGTTGACACCCTTTATGCACAACTCCAGTTGAGGTTTAGGTCTAAGAGAATGCTTTGAACCAAATACAATGCTTTCAGTTTTAGATGTATTTAAGACCAGATTATTGTTAATTTCCCATTCTGACACTGACTGTAACTCCTTGCTAAGATTCTGTGAGCTCACTGGCTGTAGGTGCTGTTGTGTACAGTGTTCAATCATCAGCATACATAGTCATTCTAGCTTCCTGTAAGACAAGTGGCAAATCATTTGAAAAAATAAAGAGTGACGGCCCAAGGAAACTGCCCCGAGGGATACCGCACTTTACATATCTGATGTTAGAGTAGCTTCCATTGAAGAACACACTGGGTTCTATTGGATAAGTAACTCTCCAACCATGTGATGGCAGGTGATGTAAAGCCATACAAAGTTAGTTTTTTTCCAATAACAAATGATGATCAGTAACATCAAAGGCTGCACTGAAACATAACAATACAGCTCCAACTATCATCTTATTATCCATTTATTTTAGCCAGTCATGAGTCAGTGCAGTACACGTTGAGTGCCCTTCCCTACTGAAAGTCAGTGGTTAAGTTGTTATTTAAAAAATAGCATTGCATTTGTTCAAAACACAATTCTCTCCATCAGTTTACTAAGAACAGGCAGCAAACTGATTGGGCGGCCGTTGGAGCCAGCAAAGGGTGCTTTACTATTTTTAGGTAGTGGAATTACTTTAGCTTTCTTCAACACCTGTGGACACTCCTTTAGGCTTTGGTTAAAAACATGGCAAATTGGGGTGGTAATACAGTCTGCTACCATTCTCAGTAGTTTCCCATCTAGGTTGTCTATACCTGGTGGCTTATCATTGATGGATAGTAACTGTTTTTCCACCTATTCCACACACTTGACCAAATTCAAACCGGCAATCCTTCTTTCATTTATTAGATCTTCAATACACATGAAGGTTCACTGTTCAATATTTGTCCGCTTGACCGATGAAATAGTCATTGAAATGATTGGCTATATCAAAAGGTGTTGTTATAAATGGCCCATCAACTTCAATGAACGATGGAGATTTAATTGGGTTTTCTGTCTATAATATCACTTAAGGTGATCCAAAGTATTTTCCCCATTGTTTTTTTTATGTGATTTATCTTGTTTTAGTAATACAATTTCTTATTTTTTGTGTGTAAAATTGTCACCAGATTTCTCAGTTGACAGTGTCAACCAATCAGCTGGACTTGTTTTCCACCTCTTGCAGCATTTCTTTGAACCATAACATTTTAATGAATCGTCTATCCAGGGGGCTCTAACAGTTCTCACAATTAACTTCTTAACAGGCGCATGCTTGTGCTACATCTGGATTCTCCTCCTTATACACATCAGACCAACATAATTGTCCTGAGAACATTTTGTATGATTTCTTATAAATAACTTTAGGCCCTGCCTTTGGTACTTTTGGCTTTCCTTGTTATTGCCACAATGTTATGGTCACTACAGCCAATGGGAACATATATTGCTTTGGAGCAAAGCTCTGCAGCATTGGTGAAGATATGATCAATACAACTGGATGTCACAGATCCAACACTATTGGTGTACACTCTAATTGGTTGCGTGATAACCTGGGTCATATTACAGGCATTAGTCACAGTAAGAAACTTCCTCATGAGAGGATAACTAGATGATAACCAGTCAATGTTCAGGTCACCAAGAAAATGCATCAGAGACATTACATTTACATTTAGTCATTTAGCAGACGCTCTTATCCAGAGCGACTTACAGTTAGTGAATACATATTTTTTTTTATACTGGCCCCCGTGGGAAACGAACCCACAACCCTGGCGTTGCAAACGCCATGCTCTATCAACTGAGCTACATCCCTGCCGGCCATTCCCTCCCCTACACTGGACAACGCTAGGCCAATTGTGCGCCGCCCATGAGTCTCCCGGTCGCGGCCGGCTGCGACAGAGCCTGGATTCGAACCAGGATCTCTAGTGGCACAGTTAGCACTACGATGCAGTGCCTTAGACCACTGCGCCACTCAGGAGAGACCTTATCTAACATCACACACATATTAGACATGGTGTTAAAATAGTGTTACATTTTCTCTCTCTCCTTTCTCTCGCTGTGTTTGTCTATTGATCTATCTCTCTCTCTCTTTTTCTCGGGTGTATATCTATCTATTTCTATCGGTTTAATTTCTTTCAGGCATCTTGAAGTTTGCTGCATTGGTTTCGGTCTTTTTCCTGGCAGTTTTCCTTGCCTTCCAGCTGCTGGAAATTAATATGGACTTCAATTTGGGGAGTGAGTTTGGTTACAGATGTTTTCCAGTGTTGTAATTGTGCATATCAATCAATTGTTTTGAATACATCGCTCAATTAATAGGATTAATAATCTTCACAGGGGATTCTAAATTTAGGCCTCCTTCAGAAAAAACATATTGTCTGCATAAGACACCCCTCTGGCTAAAGCCAAATTCATACACTACAAAGACGGAAGGTACGGAGGGTAGCGCAATGTCGTTTTTCATCACAAAAGGGGTGGCTCCCTGTAATACATTCCGGCATTCGGGCGTACTTTTGTACTACCTGAAAGTTGAGACGCGCCATATCATTCCTTCTGCAGCCGTGGGGCCAGTGTTGTCGCTTGGTCTTTTGGCTATATAGGCTATTCATCAAAGTAGCCTATTTTGAATTTGTAACCAAATATAATCTCAGCGACTGTTTAAACAGTAAACCAAACAACAAGAATCAACCCCCCCCCCCCCCCCCCCCCCCCCCCCCCCTTCCTTGCTTTCACAAAATTAAATTACAAAAATAAAACACTTTGCCATCGCCCCCTTGTGAGTGGGACTGGTGAGGATATCATGTTACCAAAAAGTGTCTTCTGCTCCAAAAATCCCACTCCAACCGAGTGAAGCTTGTAGTAACCTTTAAACAAAGGCTATTGTTGTGCTACCCACAAAGGTTAACTTTGAAATTGTATAACTAGCTTCGTATTCCGTTTCAACTCATTGGGAGTGAGGGTTGAGTTGTCTGTAGACTGAGAACTTGTGGTTTTGTGCAAAGCTCAATGTTTTAACTTAAATAAGGAACTAATGTCATAAAGATATCTGAGAAACTCGAGTCTAACTTGTCGGTTTCTTTCCCTCCAACAGGGTCTATGCCTGTAGAGGAAAGCTGTAAGTATACTTCAATAACGTCTCCTATCACCACATCTCTTTAGCGTACTTTTTGATTCCATCAATCAATCAAGTTACATTTCTTATCTTTTTCCTCCCAATGGTATTTGAAAATCAAGGATGATCTCTTTATTTTAGACCCAAGTCACCCCCTGTACCTGGACTTTGAATTACTCCCCTCTGGGCGTAGGTATAGGGCACCCCTCAGCAGGAAAAATAGAACGAGACAATCATTTGTGCCAGGTGTGATATCCCTCTTAAATAGCTCGGGCAAATGTTCCCATTGACCCCGTAAGGCCAGCAGGCTAGTCTTTGTTTTAAATGTTTTAAATGTTTTATTTCTTATTTCTTACTTTTATTGGTGCGTGACTGTTATTGAAAGTTGTATTGTCAATCTTGTTTTGTATTTAACGCCACTTTAAATGTGTACATGACACTGCAACAAAATTTCCCCATGGGGACAATAAAGTAAGTAAGTAAGTAAGTAACAAACCATGGAAACACCTTACCATGTATGCTTAAGTGTTTGGAGCTAAGTAGTTAATCTGTATGTATTGTACAGTTACCACCTGGCCTTTATTGTGAGTGTGTTGGTTCTTTAGCTGCTGAGTCCTATGTAAATAGTCTGGTTTGTACTGTAGGTGTGTGAGAGCGATTCAAGCTGTGTGTTTAGTAGTAGACTGTGTTTGCAGGGTCTAGATATGTACGTGTTCGCTGATATTTGGTGTGTGTTTGATGGGGGGAGGGAATGCAAAAGTGTATATTGGGGTGTGAATTGGTATTGTAAACTCTGCTTTTGGAATTCCATTCACAGCTACCAGATTGGCCCGCTACAAGTGTGGCCTCTCCAAGCCATGTCCCGAGGGACACTTCTCCTTTAAGATGGCCAGCGGAGCAGCCAGTGTTGTGGGTCCCAAAATCTGCCTGGAGGACAACATGTAAGAGACATGATACGCCTATATTAACAGTACAACCAAAGACCCACCCCTTCTCAACCTATATTTACAATACAACCAAAGAGTCAACACCTCTCAACCTATATGCAGCCCCCCCCCCTTTGCTGATAACTTATTTTATTTAGAAAAATATACAGTACTTACTATGACTTATGTGGTTGTCACACCTAGCTATCTTAAGATGAATGCACTAACTGTAAGTCGCTGTGGATAAGAGCTGTCTGTTAAATGACTAAAATGTAAACATCTATTGCCAGGTAGAAATCTAGAGTGTAGAGCTGACACACTAGGCTATTCTACAACACAATTATCCATGTCTGTTCTACAGGATACATTTCTGGTCTTATTTTATAGATTCCTAGTTCATACCTGTATGCTAGTCTGTATCTTGTAGCTGAGGTGGGGATGAATTAAATTAAAACAAGCAACCTGTTGATAAGACTATCAATTTCGATTCAACTGTTAACCCTCTATTCAATCAACTGTTGACTCTTGTGGCGTCTTGCAGCCGTGTTATCAAAATACATTTCCTCAAGCGTTGCAGCAAGGGAATCAAGTCCGGTTAGGAAGAAGGATTTTTTTATTTTTGATCTTTCCCAATATGTTGACACGGTGTCTGCTATACGACCAGGGTGTGACAAGTCTCAGTATAGTGGTGAAGAAAGACGACAAGGATGGGACTAACCTAACCACAAGGTTCACAATCAAATTATGCTCCATTTGTCCTTTCAGATTGATGAGTGGCGTCAAGAACAACGTGGGCAGAGGAATTAACATCGCTCTGGTTAACGGTAAACCAGCCTTGTCACTACTACATACCATAGACAAACAGTACTTCTCCTTGTATTCAAATCGGTTGTTTTGCATGTTTACATTTGTGAGAAATATGACAATTGAAAATGACATCTGGTATGTGGAACATTTACTTTGTTCAGGGGTTGGCAGCTCGAGTCCTTTTGAGGGTGTGTAGAATGCGTAGATAGCTGTTAGTGCTGGGCTGGAACAAAAGCCTGCATACAACATGGCGCTCCAGGAGTGTAGTTGCCCATCCCTGCCTTGGTTAACTACTGCAATGCTAACCGGTCCATACCACTGTTCATATACAGTGAGTGTACAAAACATGAAGAACACCTTCCTAATATTGAGTTGCACCCTCTTTTGCCCTCAGAACAGCCTCAATTTGTTGGGACATGGACTCTACAGTGTCGAAAGCGTTCCGCAGGGGATGCTGGCCCATGTTGACTCCAATGTGTCCTACAGTTGTCAAGTTGGCTGGATGTCCTTTGGGTGGAGGACCATTCTTGATACACACAGGAAACTGTTGAGAATGAAAAACCCAGCAGGGTACTACCATACCCCAATTAAAGGCACTATTTTCTCTTGCCGATTCATCCCCTGAATGGCACACATACACAATCCATGTCTCAATGCTTAAAAATCCATCTTTAACCTGTCTCCTCCCATTCATCTACACTGATTTGAAGTGGAGTTAACAAGTGACACCAATAAGGGATCATAGCGTTCACCTGGATAGTCTGTCATTGAAAGAGCAGGTGTTCTTAATGTTTTGTACACTCAATGTATACAGTACTTTCCATTGTCATTGAATGTACTAGTATTCATGATAGGAGTTAGCTTGTGAGCATACATTAGCTTGTCATGAACAAAAGTTGTTTGTTCTCCACAGGAAAGACAGGGGACCTCATCAAGACCGACTCCTTTGACATGTGGGCGGGAGGTGAGGCCTTTGTTTCAGTCAGATTTCCTGTGTCGTGTTCGTTTCATGGTGTGTCTCTGGACTAGGCAGGCGGACTAGTCAAACCAGTGTTCCTGTGATTTGTGTGTGACCTTTTGCAGATGTCAAAACGCTCATCACATTCCTGAAGACTATCGAGGAAGGAACCGTAGTGATGATGGCCACATTTGACGATTCGTCCACAAAGTAGGTGTTCGGAACTGGAATAAAAAATAAAAATGCAGCATTTAACTTCTCCATTAACTCTTAGATGATCATTTTAAGATTTGGCAAATACTTCAGTTAAGTGTCTGGATCAATCTGTTTCAGTCCTCCAGGGACTGAATTTAACCCTTCTAGAATTGACGAATGACTGTCACTTGAATACACCCCTGACTGCAGTGAAGGCTAAATGAATTTCACCCTAACTGCTGATATTAAAGGAGTAGTTACACCAATGACTGTTGATGTATAACATTAGTGACTAAGATAAAAGGTTCACGCAAAGGAAAGGGTGGAGACATTTAAGTGTCTAGTCTACAGACTGTCTCAATGACATTCTAGCTGTGTATTCACTAGAAAACGGACCAAAACGGGGAGGGACTACCTGAACTTGTCCAATAAGAAATGTTAATTTTGTTGCAAAACATTTTCTGTTGCAAAATGTTTCGCTACGGTGTGCACAAATGAATACGACCCTGCTTTGTGGTCCTCAGGCTGAACGACGAGTCCAAGAAGATGATTGGTGAACTGGGCAGTTCCAGCATCAACACATTGGGCTTCAGGGACAACTGGATCTTTGTGGGGGGCAAAGGGATTAAGACCAAGAGTCCCTTTGAGCAGGTAACTTCAACCCCCCCCTCCTTAAATCTGTATCCTCAACATGGTCTGTTCACATGGAACTAATTCACCTCTCCCCGTTGAAATATCATGGCTTCAGTGGAGCACAACCGACAGAATATAGTATCTAGAACACACAATTTATCATACACGTCAACTATGACTGAGATTTCTTCCAGAAAATCACATTGTAGGATTTTTAATGAATTTATTTGCAAATTATAGTGGAAAATAAGTATTTGGTCAATAACAAAAGTTTCTCAATACTTTGTTATATACCCTTTGTTGGCAATGACACAGGTCAAACGTTTTCTGTAAGTCTTCACAAGGTTTTCACACACTGTTGCTGGTATTTTGGCCCATTCCTCTAGAGCAGTGATGTTTTGGGGCTGTCGCTGGGCAACAGACTTTCAACTCCCTCCAAAGATTTTCTATGGGGTTGAGATCTGGAGACTGGCTACGCCACTCCAGGACCTTGAAATGCTTCTTATGAAGCCACTCCTTCGTTGCCCGGGCGGTGTGTTTGGGATCATTGTCATGCTGAAAGATCCAGCCACGTTTCATCTTCAATGCCCTTGCTGATGGAAGGAGGTCTTCACTCAAAATCTCACGATACATGGCCCCATTCATTCTTTCCTTTACACGGATCAGTCGTCCTGGTCCCTTTGCAGAAAAACAGCCCCAAAGCATGATGTTTCCGACCCCCATGCTTCACAGTAGGTATGGTGTTCTTTGGATGCAACTCAGCATTCTTTGTCCTCCAAACACGACGAGTTGAGTTTTTACCAAAAAGTTATATTTTGGTTTCATCTGACCATATGACATTCTCCCAATCCTCTTCTGGATCATCCAAATGCACTCTAGCAAACTTCAGATGGGCCTGGACATGTACTGGCTTAAGCAGGGGGACACGTCTGGCACTGCAGGATTTGAGTCCCTGGCGGCGTAGTGTGTTACTGATGGTAGGCTTTGTTACTTTGGTCCCAGCTCTCTGCAGGTCATTCACTAGGTCCCCCTGTGTGGTTCTGGGATTTTTGCTCACCGTTCTTGTGATCATTTTGACCCCACGGGGTGAGATCTTGCGTGGAGCCCCAGATCGAGGGAGATTATCAGTGGACTTGTATGTCTTCCATTTCCTAATAATTGCTCCCACAGTTGATTTCTTCAAACCAAGCTGCTTACCTATTGCAGATTCAGTCTTCCCAGCCTGGTGCAGGTCTACTATTTTGTTTCTGGTGTCCTTTGACAGCTCTTTAGTCTTGGCCATAGTGGAGTTTGGAGTGTGACTGTTTGAGGTTGTGGACAGGTGTCTTTTATACTGATAACAAGTTCAAACAGGTGCCATTAATACAGGTAACGAGTGGAGGACAGAGGAGCCTCTTAAAGAAGAAGTTACAGGTCTGTGAGAGCCAGAAATCTTGCTTGTTTGTAGGTAACCAAATACTTTGTAGCTCTGTAGCTCAGCTGGTAGAGCACGGCGCTTGTAACGCCAAGGTAGTGGGTTCGATCCCCGGGACCACCCATACGTAAAAATGTATGCACGCATGACTGTAAGTCGCTTTGGATAAAAGCGTCTGCTAAATGGCATATTATTATTATTATTTTATTATTATTATTATTATTATTATATTATTATTATTATTATTATTTATTATTACTTATTTTCCACCATAATTTGCAAATAAATTCATAAAAAATCCTACAATGTGATTCTCTGGAGAATTTTTTTTCTCAATTTGTCTGTCATAGTTGACGTGTACCTATGAAAATTACAGGCCTCAACATTTTAAGTGGGAGAACTTGCACAATTGGTGGCTGACTAAATACTTTTTTCCCCCCACTGTTTTGGAGTCAATACCACAACATCCAACTTCGGATGCAGATCATACAAGTTATCGTCTACAACCCTCAAACTCAACTCTGGTTCCACTGCATTTTTTCATTGTTCCCCTCTAATCAGGGACTGATTTAGACTCGACACCAGGTATGTGCAATTAATTATCAGGTAGAACAGAAAACCAGCAGGCTCCGGACCTCGAAGGGTAAGAGTTGAGCACCTCTGGTCTACAACGTTGCCAATAATAATAATAATAATAATAATAATAATAATAATAATATGCCATTTAGCAGACGCTTTTATCCAAAGCGACTTACAGTCATGCGTGCATACATTTTGTGTATGGGTGGTCCCGGGGATCGAACCCACTACCTTGGCGTTACAAGCGCCGTGCTCTACCAGCTGAGCTACAGAGGACCAATGTCATCAAAGGATTGATTACCTAGCGAGGCAAGGTAAAATATCCCGAATAGTCTACTTGTTGAGCATAGCTATAGCCATCAGTCTGGTGTTCATGGTCATCACTCACTGTTCAGTTTGTCAAGGTCCCAACATCAGCATATAACTAACCTGCTACAGGGCTATTTGACGCAAGAATGCTCGTGTGCATCACTGGAACGTGACGTTTGTAAAGAGAACATTTGTAAGATATGTAAAACACAGCCACTCCATGATTTTGTTTTCGTTCTTTATAGTTCTGAACTATTGATTTCATTACCTTAGTTTCACCAGAGAAGGCGATTTTAGAACACATTGTCCTTTACATTGACACCTGACCCTTGAACATGTTGCCCCTGAGTGTATAGGCACTCCTTCAATATTGACTTTCCATTCTCCCTTATGTGTTCTTGTGACACTGTTTGTGATAGCTGTGGCGGTACACACACAGCCTTATCAGACGAGGGGCCAGGCATTGTGCTTCCCAAATGGCACCCTTATCCCTTTATAGTGCATTAAACACTTCCACTATATCGGGAATAGGGTGCCATTTGAGATGCAGGCATGGGGTCTAATCCAAAACCTCTCTCTTTCTGCCTCTACAGCACATAAAGAACAACGCCGGCACCAACAAATACGAGGGCTGGCCCGAGGTGCTGGAGATGGAAGGCTGCATACCCCAAAGACAGGAGTGATCTTTGAACTTTAACCCTCAATCGGCCAACTCCCGTTCCCTTCATATTCGACCCCTTCATGCCTTTGGCTGTGTCTCTCATTCTTCTCTTAAAATAGTGTACTTGCACCTTTCCTATGATGGCTCTAACAATGGTGGAACCTCCCTCCACCCAATGTTAACACCAACACAGCCTTTGCATTTTAGAGACTGTCCCTCTGCGTTGCAGCTGTCAATGTTCTCAGCAATCGGTGTTTGACATCAGGGGGCGTCCTTGTATCTTCCTGTGTTTGTTTATGTCAAGGTATTGTCTATTTATGGAAAGAGGAATGGAAGGGGAGCTGGTTTGGCAGAAACTCCTGTTATTGGTTATTCAGCAGAATGTACCAAGGTCACTGTGATATTTGTAAATAGAACTACAAAAAAATTAACAAACTTTTGAACATCCATATTGTAATAATATAAAATATTGGAAAGCTATATGGCTTGTTAAGATCCTTGTTACTGAAGAGTGAATTTATATTATAGCTTTTTTATCTTTAGTGATTGGTCTTTTTTAAATCATTAATTTTTGTGTGGGTTGGGAGTGGAATGAATGAGAAGCGTGTAGCTAAAGCGTGCGAGTGGAGAGTTTGTATTTTGTGTGCATCTTCCTTGGATAGAATGGGAATCGTTGGTTTTGGATGGGGGTCATGTACGTAAGTGTTTCAGTAAAAATCTATAGATATTTTTGAGGGAAATATTTAGCTGATTGTTAAACAAAACAATTGGATTTGTATTTGCACCTTGACAGCCTTGGAAAAACCATTCAAGAAATAGTACATTACAAAGATGACTAGGTTTTGATTTTGCGGCCCCTAGATCTTACTTGAATATGTATCCAGTATCTCTGGTTTACTTTAAAGACTACTAACTCTCTGCATCTCATATCTCTTCCACTTGACTCTCCTAAAGGGTTGATTACGTCATTGCGACTGATTATTTTTTTATATGATACAAAAACTGCCTAGGCTGACGCTCTTACCTTTTTTAGCTGTGTTACTGCTTGCTTTTGTAACATTGCATCATATCCCCACTGGATCTTCTTCAATGAGCTGTCTCGGTACACTACCACTGTACATTAGCCTTGGTCATATTAGCTCCAATTCAACCCAGCTGTCATTTTGTCACACTTGAAATGGAGTAAACTACACACTCACGTGCAATAGTCCGTTGGATTATTCAATGGATTGATTCATGTTCTGTGTGTGAAGTTGAATCCATTGGGAGATTATTGCATATGCAATTATGTCCTCTCATGCACTTTGTAACTATGGTAACACCCAGTGCTAAAAATGGCACACGTTTAGGAGTGTAATGTTGACCTCTCCTGTTGACCAAAACCTCGGTCCCCTAGTTGGTTCAAAGCACAACACGGTCTGTTTTTGGTCAAATGGCAGATATACAATCCTGGTTCCAATTTTGTTTGCGTTTAGGGCAGTACATGTAACCTAACACAATGTGATTGTACAGGCTAATCTGAAACAGTTCCCCCAGCCACTTTTCTGTGGAGTCATTGAAATGAAGGATTTTGCCTTGACATTGGCAGGATATTTTTACACAATGAATTGCATCCTCCACATTGCATTAAAAAAAATATATGTCTTGTGGTGTTCTTTGGTTTCATTTGAAGACGTTGAGTGAAGTGAAATGGCCAAGTCGAAACTCCATCAATGCCATTCCAAAAAAAGGTTTGCCCTTCCTACTCTTAATGGAATTCAGTGCCTTGTCTGACTTACAAATCCATACTGTCTATGTAATATTCCCTATTTCTGCATCTCCACTAAACTAATGATTCGTTAATCATACACATCATATTGTTGTTGCAAGGGAGTTAAATGGAAAACTATTATTATAATTGACTGATTTGTTGCAATGTCCTACATCTGTGTCGTGAAACATTTCAAACAACTTACCATTCATGAGAATGATTAATAAAGCTCATCCTGTCTTCATTGTACATGTGCCATTTATTTAGACCGAAGTCCTGAATTTGAAAGTATTTCTCTCAATGCCTTTTAACATCTTACATTATCTAATATGTTGGCAGATGACGTTGACTTGATTTTAGGGAGGAAAGAAAGAGTACATCTGGCTTCTTCGCCTGTGGGGTCGGCTGAGGTGTATTTCTGTCTGTAATGAAGCCCTTTTGTCGGGAAAACCTCATTCTGATTGGCTGGGCCTGGCTCCCCAGTGGGTGGGCCTAATGCATTTATTTCAATTGACTGATTTCCTTATGAACCTTAACTTAGTAAAATCTTTGAAATTGAGTTTTATACTTTTTGTTCAGTATAGTCATAGGCATCCATCTGGGTTGTTTTCAGGAGGTTGCAACATTCTCAATTATGCAGATGGCAATGGCATTAATAGATATTGCATTTTATTTTATTTTTTATGACAGTCTGTTCAACAGCCTAATGTTTCTAAACTAAGAAAATTCCACAAGGTTGTGCCACTATTCTATTATATAATAACCAAATACCCTATTCTCTTTGCAAAAGGTCAGCAATACTTTACCACCCGGTTTATAATAAGAATTATAAACTGGGTGGTTTGAGCCCTGAATGCTGATTGGCTGACAGCCGTGGTATATCAGACTGTATACCACAGGTATGACACAATTTATTTGTACTGCTCTAAGTACTTTGGTAACCAGTTTATAATGGCAATAAGGCACCTCGGGGGTTTGTGGTATATGGCCAATATACCACGGCTAAGGGCTGTATCCAGGCACTCCACATTTCCTTGTGCGTAAGAACAGCCCTTAGCTGTGGTATACTGGCCATATACCAAACCCTCTCGGGCCTTATTGCTTAAGTATATGACTGACTGTAGCTATTGTTGGCACATGTATTTTGAATGCATACATGTACATAATGCTCCAATCAGATCACTTGCAGGTCATGCACATGTGTTACTGACCTTGCGCCAAACACCGGAAAAAAGTTTGTTTGTGGTGTTTTCATTGTAACTAGTAAATAATTAAAACAATGTACAAAGCAGACGAATCACTGGTAAGATGCAAAATAAGTTTTGGCAAGTGCTTTGTCTATGGAGCCAGATAGCTGCCAAAAGGTTGAACGTACGTATCGTTAGGATCGTAAGCCATGCATGAAACATAAACGTTAAATTTCATCTGTGAACATACAAACATGTTACGATTACGGGCTAACATTTTAGGCTTGAACAAATCTTGTGTTGCAATTGTGACGTACAATAATACCTTTTAGAGTCTTGGCAGTTTCATCTCACCAACAAAAAAAACGTACACCAAACAGCCTGTGAGGAGTGCTACGCAAACAAGCATAATACATTTTATTTTTTTTTACGTCGGAAAAAAGAACGAGATCCTGCACGTTTTCAAGTTAAGTCTCCATTCTCTATTACTCCTCAGTTGAGTTTACTTCACATTTAGGTAGCTAATGTAGTGGATTTCTTTGCCAGCGCAAGTCTAGATAGCACTAGTTGTATTATCTTTACAACAGTGAAGTTTCAGTATGACTAATTCAATATTGCTCCATCCCATTCTCCTCTGGGCTCTGTCTACAATCATAACCAGTAGTATATACCAGGAATAATGAAACATGTTTGGTGAATCTATGAATTATGTATGGCCACTGGAGTCTTTGCCACTCAAAATATTTTTTTGTTGAATTTTTTGACATTTATTTCATCACTCAAAATCTTGCCAAAGCATATTCTGTAGGAAGGGATAAAATGAATTTAAAGTAATTGTACATGATTTATATGAATCGGGTCATGAACATATGGACTTTGAAATGAACAAGGGAGAGGTTAAACGTACACTAAGTCTGGCATAAACTTATTCCCACACTTTACAATAACTGTTGCAGTGGTTTTAGGTAGTCTCCATATAAGCTATACCCTCCATCGTGACAATGCTGCCCAGTTAAAGAGTGTGTGATCTCCATGCAGCACCACAGCACCATGCACCTTCGGAAAAGCATCCTTCAGCCTCAGAAGATGCCCTTCTGGAGGCATGCAGCCATAGAGTCATTATACCCTAATGTAGGCCTATTTGCCTACTAGCCAAATAAAGTGCAGAGCATGCATGATGCGTGCAACTCATCATTTCAACATATTTGAACATTTAATTCATCCTTCATTCAGTTCAGTCAGTATGTCATCCATTCTGTAATTTGTTGCAATAGGAACTAAATCAAAGAGAATAGAACAGTCTTATCCATTTGTTTATTGAAATCCATGTGTGTATTCACAATTAGCTAAATTCTCCAAAGTTCTTTAGCCTACCACTTTAATAATTCAATGTTTAATTTAGGCCTATCCAAATAAAAAAATATGCCTTCAAATGTAAGCATTGCAATTTAGGCTATAATTGTGGGTACTGGTGTCTTGCGGAATAATTTTTGAATCTATATTTGTGTTTTATAACTGTTTTTATTATAGGCTTCCCCTTAAAAAGAGACCCTAGCTCACAGGCCTCTAAATAAATGTTAAACAAAATAGTTGAAGAAGCACGTGCAGTGGCTGATAGGGAAAACAGATCTGGCAATAAGAATAGGTTATAGATGGTCTTGACCATTTGGGACCACTTGGCTATTTCGCTCAGGACAGGTTATAGCCAAGACTTAATCAATATTTTGTTTTGTCTCATTTACTGATATGGATATAGCCTCTGCGTGATGGGTTATGCAACGCAAATGGCTGTAACAAGCCTACATACAGAGTGGAATTCGCAAATACAACAGTCAAAATGCCTAATATAAGGCCTACAGTCTGTGCTCCCAAATACTGGAAATAGTGTGATTCATTAGGTTACATGATCACTACAGTAGCCCCACGCGGCTATAAAAATAAATTATGCAATAAATGGCCATTAAATAACACACAACAGCATGGCATATTTAGATATTGGAATAGGCCTAGCCTAAATCATATTTACTTTCTATTCTGCAGCTCAGGCGGTTATTCTAGACAAGGCTCTTCTGTCTTTATAGTATAATTCTCATACAAGTCATTTGCTGAAGGCCCAAGCCTATACTACGCCATCTACTGGTATAACGTTGTTATGGAATGCCGTTCCACAACAAGCTCTAGACTTTTATTTTGGAAATGAAACCGGAAGCTGCAAAGCAACTCTGCCATCTGGGCTAGAGTTGCTTGATTGACTAGCTAACTTCGACTAGCTATAATAATAATAATAATAATATGCCATTTAGCAGACGCTTTTATCCAAAGCGACTTACAGTCATGCGTGCATACATTTTTGTGTGTCGTTTGCAGATGCCACATTCCTGACAAAAGTTTGTACACATATAAAAGATCTGTAACCGAGTAAAGGGAGACGTAAAGTAAGAATTGATAGAATTCATAGTCGTAACATAGGGTTTACAGATGTAATTTAATGGTTACGCATGGCTTTTCTTACGATCCTAACAATTTACGTATGGATTTTCTTACGATTCTAACGATACCTAGGTTCAATTTTTTGGCCGCTATCTGGCTCCATATTTGTCTGACGTTTTTCTCCCGATGTTTGTCACTGGTCAATCATAATAAGGTGTTGTTGCAAATAGGCATGTTTATTTTTACACGCACAAGTATCAAACCGCAACCACTGTGTAACAAAACTATGGTAATGTTCATGTTCAAGCTATGATTGTTCAAGGTCAACATATTTCCAGTTTGTTGCTCTCACTTGAAAATCAAGGAACAAATGTTTGGCTTCTCTTCGGCATTTTGAAATGTAAAGGGCTTGTGTGACTCACTTAGTGCTGAGCAATTAGTGTTTATTCGGTTCGGTTTCGGTTCAATTATTAAAATCACAGTTTTCGATTATTTGGGTTGAATGCTGTGACACAGAATCAAACAATTAATACAAGTTCCATGATGGTAGTGAGTATTGACTGCTCATTACTGCTTATCAATTATTAACCATAATTTATTCACATTACTTTAATAAAATCTTTCAGTTGTGTATATTACATTTGTTTTATTTGATTACTTATTTCATTCCAAATCATCTCATCTCTATAGAGCTGCTGCATATGCTGTCTGACAATCACTATTTTGTAGTTAATCAAAGTAAAATACAGTTGAAGTCGGAAGTTTACATACACCTTAGCCAAATACATTTAAACTCAGTTTTTCACAATTCCTGACATTTAATCCTAGTAAAAAATTCCCTGTCTTAGGTCAGTTAGGATCACCACTTTATTTTAAGAATGTGAAATGTCAGAATAATAGTAGAGAGAATGGTTTATTTCAGCTTTTATTTCTTTCATCACATTCCCAGTGGGTCAGAAGTTTACATACACTCAATTAGTATTTGGTAGCATTGCTTTTAAATTGTTTTACTTGGGTCAATCGTTTCGGGTAGCCTTCCACAAGCTTCCCACAGTAAGTTGGGTTAATTTTGGCCCATTCCTCCTGACAGAGCTGGTGTAACTGAGTCAGGTTTGTAGGCCTCCTTGCTCGCACACACTTTTTCAGTTCTGCCTACAAATGTTCTATAGGATTGAGGTCAGGGCTTTGTAATGGCCACTCCAAGACCTTGACAACTTTGGAAGTATGCTTGGGGTCATTGTCCATTTGGAAGACCCATTTGCGACCAAGCTTTAACTTCCTGACTGATGTCTTGAGATGTTGCTTCAAGTGCACCAGTCCCTCCTTCAGCAAAGCACCCCCACAGCATGATGCTGCCACCCCCGTGCTTCACGGTTGGGATGGTGTTCTTCGGCTTGCAAGCAGCCCCCTTTTTCCTCCAAACATAACAATGGTCATTATGGCAAAACAGTTCTATTTTTGTTTCATCAGACCAGAGGACATTTCTCCAAAAAGTATGATATTTTTCCCCATGTGCAGTTTCAAACCGTAGTCTGTCTTTTTTATGGCGGTTTTGGAGCAGTGGCTTCTTCCTTGCTGAGCGGCCTTTCAGGTTATGTTG